TTCATCACATTGTGATAATATATCCACTGGTAGTAGACATAACTATAATGTCTGCACTATTAACCTTCACCCTTGATGCATTGGTCTGGCTAGCTCAAGTTGATACCAGAATTTTTTGTTCAATCATAATTTTTTGTTAAATATATGTATTGTTATTAACTAAAAAATTAATGAAGTAAAAAATCTAACAGTAAAAACTCATAATATTCCATTGGAATTTTTAAAAATCATATCAGTTTTCAAACGCTATTTTTAAATATAAGCTCTTTCATGATATTGTTATGAGAGTTTAAAATATCATGTCTTTACTTCTTTCTCAAATTTGAACCTCAGAGAGTAATTAATCAGCAAATAAATGCAGTTAATATAAAAAATTATAACAAAGATGTGAGGTTTATAACACATTTTTTACGATTAGAAAAAAATCTTCATTAGATTTACAAATATACGCATATATTGTATATTTTTATGGAAAAAAAATTCATATTAAAGTTTTAAATAACTAATGAAAGTAACAGTTAAAGCGGTCACAAATCATGAAATCACTACTGGTGTGTTTTCATCAGATCAAATTCAAATAGTTTGAAACTTAAATTTTAGTAAAATAAAAAAATATTCATGTTTATCATTATTCAATTTAATATGATTGATATAGATTTATAATACCTATGTTTAAAAACAAGTCACCTTTGATATAAAAATGGAATTTAAAATATGTTCAATACCTCTTCACTAAACTTTTATCATCAAAACTACTTATCAAATATATTATTACATTCAACTTCATAGTTCAATTCTTAGAACATAAGCATATAGAAGTCATTCATTTAGTATCTAAATCTCGGCATTTCTTGCAACACAAGGAACTAACTGTAGAAGGTTTGTAGTAATAGAATCTGTGAAGTCTTCAAATGTGTTTTGCACCCTGTTCGGGATACGTCCGGAGGAAAAGGGCTAAGGACCTACGAGGACTGTTCAAGCTCACTATCTACGAAGATTATCTCTTTCCCCTAGTCTAGAAAAATATATTAAACCCGAGTTAATGAATCCTTCCTTGTAGACCATGAACTTTCTACCCTCGTATGAATCTGTCTTGTCTTAGACCTTCGGACTGTACTTAAGCTGATCTTAAAGTTGGGAATTACCTTGTTACACACATCCAATGTTTTCTTTTACCTTGCAAGTTCTGCTACCAGTAACTCCAGCATAGATTCTCACTTCAAACGCATTTATTATTAAGATCAGATTACTAACATTATTAGTAAGAATGGAACTCCGAAGTGTGAGATACTCACTCCACTGCTTTACATTCTTTAGACCTGAAACTATGGTCACGATTCTCATTGTTATATTCATGAAGAGGAGCAGCTGATAATAGATTTCTAATTACTCAGTGTCACACAAAAGTCCAGCATCTCAATGACTCATGTCGATCTTGTCGCCCGTGCACGCTTGATTTCCACAACCTTGACACTCAATCTCAAGATGTCAACTCTCCTTGGACATGCTACTGCGATCAGAAACATCACACCTTGGAAGATCCGCTGAACTCGAGCTGCAGCAGTCAGCAGGAAGAACTGCAGAACGTCGACCGAGGTTCATTTGTTCAAGACGTACGTGACAGAGGTACATAAGTCGACGCCCTTCGACATATTTTTACGGAGGAAAAATCCGAAAGCTAGAGTACTTCGCGCTTGCAAGAGTGTCGAATTGTGTGCCGATGATCGAATCAGCTGAAAACTCCACTGAATTATTGCATCCATGTCTCCCGGACCTCGGTGGTGTGATCGGGACACCATCGATCGGATCACCAGAGCCTTCGGAATCTGGAACCAGGCGAGGTGTACAAAGAAAAGAAAGGAGCGAAGATGCTCATGAGGCGAAAATTCTGAGCTGGACGAAGAATTTCCCGAGGGACTGGGATCGGTGATCGAGAAGTTATTAATTGTGTTCCTATCGTCAAGCAGGCGAGAAGTGCGCGAGGAATCGAGCGATTCGAGATGCGACCGGATGTGCCGGTGACGACCCCCCAAAGCGCCACGCTCGTCGTGACGTCGACAAAAGAGAGAGGGAGAGCGAGAGAAGACTTTTCGCCGGTCGGCCACCGGTCCCGAGTGCCTGGGCCCTCAAAAGGAAACCGGGTACAACGACCGGCAGCCGGGGCGGTAGCGTGAGCCGTCTTCGCCCGCAAGAAACTCGCGGCCATAATCGCCGGCACTGCAGGACCTTCGGTCCTTCGCTGGCAGCAAGCCGAGCAGCAGCCCCTCTCTCGCACCACGCCACGTGCCCCCTTCTCCAAAGAGCTGGGAGATTCCCGCCACGTCTGCCACTACGGCAGCTCCCCCCGGAGTCAGGGCTGCTTTGGACTGACAGTTGTTTGGACAGTGTCCGGTGGTCTGCTGCTCGTTCGCAGTCCACACTCGAGCTTTACAGGATTCACTCACTAATCTGGTCTCGATTTGGCCTTAACAATGCACTTGATTCTCAAGTCAACTGGTCCATGTTGATCGATTCCTCGAGCTGAGGTGGTTTTACTTCTGGACTCGATCCCAGATACTTACATCAAAAGCAGAAGGGAACATTTCACGCGTTAAAGCCTGGAGAATATTTGTGACATGGGGCCTGCTCTTGCACAGATATTAGCGAAGAAAATGAGTATAAAATGTGTCGTTCGCTTTTTGCATGTTACGGTGGTACTCGTATTGTTGTTGGCCACCAGGTCAACCTCGGGGCCAGAGACTGCGTTCCAGTGATCGTGGGTGTCACAAGGTCAAAGGGTGGGAGATTCTGCATAACATGTTGAGCTCATCGGTAGCCAGATTCAAAGTGCACTGGAACATTCGAGCGAGCGAGAGCACGAATATGGCAGTCGTAGACGACAAAGGTGAGTGCCACGGAGCTGGAAAAGTGGTAATGCAGAAAGGGAGGGTGCGATTTGAGTGAAGTGTTTGCATAAAATTAAGGTGACGGTTTTGCAGGAGCATGAGAAAGGGATTATTGCCTGTGCTCATACTCCAATCATGCAGTGCAAGTGGGAGTCGGCAGAAGAGCCTGACCGGATTGTGCTCTCGCTCTTCATAACTGAAACGAACGCTCGCTCGAGCACGATGGATGAAGAGGCCGCATGTTCTGAGGTATTGATTTCGGAAAAGAGAATCCAGCGACCAGTGTAGCACATTGCAGAAAAGTGCGAAGTATCTCGCATTTGTTTGAAGTGCATCTGTAGACTCTGCGGGAGAAGGCTCTTTTTTGTCGAAAAGCGATGTTGGAAAGTGCCGTTTGTAGTCCACGTGATACGTTCGATCGACTTCTTTCGCACCAAATCTTTCTTTCCTTCGTGGTAGTTTCTTCAGCTTTTACTGCTCCGTACTCTTCTGAGACGGACCTCTGAGATTCTCTCCACCTGTTCCGCATGAAACCTCACAGCTTGAATTTCCTGCTCTTGTTATATCATGCCAGCTCGAAAGGATCAGAATCATTCAACATCAACGTCCTTCTAAGTTGCTTGTTTTAAAGTTCTCTAATCTTCACAACTGAAGATAACTGAGCAGCTGTATATTGTGCTTTATCGATCCAACCCTTGGTCGATATAAAATCGAATTAAAGGGCTCCAAAATCACACAACGAAATCAAATGCCCTAATTGGCATCACAGTTGAGGAAGTCAAACAAAATCAGGTCGATAAGATGAAGTCAGTCAGGCCATGATGATCGGAAGTACATGCAATGAGGTTTTGAACAACACGGTTTAGCGTTTGTTACTTGCCCGACTCAACTCTGCACGATCCTTGAGAACACGACTACATACGTGTACGGATGATTGGAGCTTCATCCTCGCAGTACAACATCATTGTCATTGGTGTCGTAATCGGTGGGCATGCTTGAACGCTGCAGCAGCATGATACTGTAGTAGGTAGTAAAAAATACAGTATACAAAGATATAGCGACGAACCCAAGCAGCATGATGGGTGGATATGCTTACCGGCGGTTGATTTGATGCTGCAGATTCTTCGTTTCGGCTTTGGACTGGTCCGTTGCAACATGGTTGACTCCGTGTGTCCATCGTCTGTTTTGCCCGCCTTAATATAATCGTTACATGTCCTTCATAAATGCTCCGCAAAGTACGAATTGATAGATGCGTCTCATGAACAAAACGGTAAGTGAATTAATAGCATGACACTTCCTGGAAGTACACCCTCACGCTGGGATTTGCAAACTTGTGACTTGGATTGGTCTCAACAGCGGTAAGGGCTTTTTAGTCCTCATTGCACACTCATGTCGTTTAGTACGAAATTACAGTAGAAAGCTATGCTGTTAAGAAAGAGAAATGACTACTACAAACGTGACCACCATACCTTTGTCCGATATGAGGACAAAATGAGAAGTAAGAATTCAATTTAGCACGGAAGCCGAGATATCTAGGCGACTTGTTGGTCGTAAATGGATAAAAAGAGAACGTGCAGCTGATTTGCGTTTCATCTTATCGATGGAGTTCTGCTGCTGAATTTCACGACGGGACTGATTTCACATCCGACCATGTAGATAGACATTTTTATACGTACGATCTTTTTGCTGTGTTATGTTAATAGTCAGCTAAGAGTCTATCTACGTCTAGGTTGGGTCCAGTCCTACAATAATTTTGTCGCAAAGTGAGTGGCCCTCACCACACTGTCAGAGAAAGAGGATGTTTGGACCTCGAAACCATTTGTTCTACTCTATTCCCGATACTACGCCTAGGCTACATACACAGGAACTGAGGTACATGTACAAACTATATTCCTGAAAAGCACGGATATGGCTTCAATCACCTCGTTTCAGCGTTGGCGTATGAGAGAAATGTGCGAAGGAAAAGTCCAACGCATGTGCAGAGGAAATGAATAAACTATACAAAGTAAGCTATCCGGTGTCCAGAAGTCTGCAAATGCATGCATTAGTTTTAGTTTGACACGGTTCCGTTCTTCAAGTCTCTCGTGAGTCTCACTATGAAGCAAAGATGTATCGGATGATGTGTACATATATAAGAATTAAAAAAACAAAAAACAAAAAAAACCTTCCCGAAGAAATTTCGTTGTTTAGACACTTGAAAGCCTCCAGGAAGCTTCCTTCTTCCAACTCCTAGGGTTATGGGTACATCAGCTTCTGACAATCAGGACAGCTTCAGATGAAGTCGAGGCGTGCACAGTCCAACGTGTTATAATGTGGAATAAAAGAAGTTCGAAAAGCCGAACAGGCTTCACTTTGGAACCATACTGCAACATCTCTAAATCAATCCACAATCGTCTTTGTCAAGTTCTTCCTACCGTCTATCATATGTAAAAAATATGTCATTAGGTAGATAGCTATGCTGTGAAGTCAACTTGATTGACTTAAATGTCAATATTGATTATCATAGCTATGATACTAAACTCTAAGACCAAGGAGTTGAATCCCATGTGATATTCAATCATCAAAGTGCTACACATTGATGTTCTAGATTGAGAAAGTTGAGTAGCCATTGAATTTCGCAAGTTATCAACAAAGAAGAGGAAAGCCCCACTTTCCTACAATTAATCTTCCTGACTGAAAATACACAGACGTGCTGATGACAGAAGATTCATCTCCTAGTCACATACATTAAACTGAGTGCCGATTGTGCTCCTTCACCATTACCGCCTTTTATGATGAGTAGCTTCTTCCCAAGCTGACAAGATGTGATTTACGATTTCAGAAACTCCAATGTTGTGCTTCACCTGTCCCAAATCACCAACGTCCGGTAAACTGGCTTTAGAAGGCAGAACGCTGAAAAGAGATGCATTCTCTTCAATCTCTTGGAAATGATTGTCGTGCTCTAAAAATCCACACCAGACTCAAACTTCTGACAAATCGGTTAAGCCCCCGCTTAGCGCAGCGTCTGAGCAATCTGATATGCAGCTTTATCATCAAAGTTGATGTACCGAGATCTTTATTTCATAACTGCTGTATACTTCCATTTTTTAAATGCTGGGTTGTCACTTATGCGGATTGTTTGTTTCAGGCAGTTAAGAAACACTGTTTGTACTATGCCACTGCCAATTCCATTAGATTTTGCATTTAAAACACCGGCTATACCTCAGATAGAGAAGACGGGGTCAAATAACTTCTGAAATTGAGCAAGAAAAGATCTACAATCTTAGTCTTTGTATAATTCGAGGGCATGCGTGTTCTAGTTGAGTCAGCCTTGAGAAGTGATGTAAAAACTAATCCCAGTAGGTACAGTTCTAGGGCTTTCTGTTCGATCTGTAAGTTCAGAAGCAAGTATTAAAGATATTACAGTTCGAGAAAAAGTTCCCTATTAAGTTTAAGTAGTTGTACATATATGTTTAGTTGGGAAGATCGTGTACAAGTACTCGTTATGGACTGGAATTAAAAGGTCTGCCGTACAGTGATGTTCCATTGTGAGCTCTAGCTTAGCAAGATGATGACAAACAAATTTCTTCGGACGTGAAAGAGGTATACTGCAAACAACTTGAATGAAACTCGAAGAAAAGAACTCTTATGCATTCCGTCGTGACATACGTTGAACGTAGTTGAGGGCAAATGAAAAATCGATGAGGTTCAAGCAAATATGAAGCTATGAAGAAAATGACTAAGAAACTGGAAAAAAAGGTGTGAACGGGTACCATGACGAACCCAGGAAGGGATGTTCAAGCTTGGACTCTACACCTACTACATAGATATCCAGGGGTTTTAGTCAACACAATCGTGTATCAATCCGCGTCGGCCATTAAATACATCAATCTGCGCTATTATACACCTTAAGAGTTTAGTAAGAAACTTACTTGAGCAAAAACGAATGGTCCACCGTCACGCATGCGGAGCGAATCTTGCTCCATTACTTTCAGGTTTGCTCCAACTGCTTCTGCCAGATCCGTCTTATTGATCACCTGTGTAAAACATCTCCAATCAGTTTCAGGACTCTTCACGTTCCAGTACTTATGGTGTAACACCTTTTTTTCAAATCCGCCCCTGATGGTATCTTCCCTGAAAAGATTTCCCTTTTCTAATTCATATATGTGCGGTCAGCTACCCCATGACTTGGTAGTATTCTTAATTTACTCTCATAAGAACAACTATTGTTTTCAGATCTGGATGTTCTAGAATATGTTACATTGAGTCCCAAAAGTGCTCCACTCATTTGCAGTACTAGACTTATTCGCAAGATCAGACTATCGTTTCTTTCTCTTACATATCAGCAGCACGCGAGCGACGACACAAGGTCTCTGCTGCTGTTAACTTACTCAGAGTGGTTCAACTGACGGGGAAGCTTCGATGGACAGTGGAATCTAGACAGAGTCTTCATCGTGTTTGGTTATGTTGTGAACTATTATCAGAGTCAGACAACGGCAGTAACTCAGTAGCAGTAAAGGCGAATGTTGACAAACCTAGAAGCTGAAAATACATGAGGCAAAGCAACAAGATCAGAAGAAAGCCTTATAGAATGGAGACCTAGAGGAAAAATCTACATGGATGTAAAATATTGTTACTCCATCTCAAATGAGAAATTTTGATTCCTCAAAAAAGCTGTCTACGGGCTAGAGCAAGTCCCTAGAAGTCCATACAAGAAGCTTGATGGTTCAACTTTCAAAGAAACTACTTAGAGTCAATTGCAACTTAGGCTTGAAGAGCGCAGTCAGACTTGATTTCCGTGATAGACGTGATTCTATGGATCACACTCAAGAACAGGTTTTCAAAAAGTCATTATAACCTCATGGTCATTGGTAGCAAAGAGTGGCGCTTTCATTCGCTGCCTTTGTAGTTGATCTCAAAATGAACAGTGATTAATAGCCTTTATTCACCTATTTGAACTTTCAAATACAATACATACAAGAATTCCCTTATATATTTATGACTTAGTCAGCGAGGTACAGGAGAAAAGCATACGCACCAAAAGATCTGCCTGCGTTATGCCGGGACCACCCTTGCGAGGAATTTTATCACCTCCAGAAACATCTATGATGTAGATGATGTAGTCTGCTAGCTCTCTGCTGAAGTTCGCAGCCAGATTGTCTGACAATTGCATATAGTGACAGTGACGGAAGAGAACAGAAACTGATCAGATGCGGTCAAGTGAGAGTTGTCTTTTGCAACTTCAAAGTTCAGGTTAACAAGGATGGGTAAAACGAATGGGGGTTGATACCAACACAACGTAATCCACCTAATCCTCTCGGTTAAGTCAATACTACTGACGAAAAGTCTTCGATCTCACATTCAATCATTTAAAGGAAGCAGAGATGATACATATTTTTTCCTAGATATGTACTCCTCATCTTGGAACAAGAATTTCCAATGATGGACTTTCTGATTATTACCTCCTCCAGACTCGCAAAGTAAAATTTCTGCTGAAAACAGGTGGGACAGCTCTTCTAGGGGTCCCAAATTGATACTTATATCTTCACGAATAGCAGCGTGTGGACATCCTCCTGTCTCCACTGCACGAATCCTCTCTGGAGGAAGGGCACCGTTTTTCACCAGAAATTCACCATCCTCTTTTGTAAAAATGTCGTTTGTAACCTTCACATGACATACAGGGGTAAGCACATCATTGTAGGATAACTCTGTTTCTGTAATACACTGGGTAAACACTAATTTCAAAAAAGGTGCTTCTTTTGAGCGTTGTGGAAAATCTTTCTTTTGTTTAAGTAAAGGAAGCCAAGCTCATAAGGTTTTGCTGATAGTAATATGTCTTCATTTTCTGTTGAATTTTGTCCATGCAGTCTAAACGTAGAACCTCCACATCCCTAATTGACTTGTACAGTTACGGAGTTTCCATCTTCACGTCTGTTTCTTTCGTATATTTCAGGATTGAGCTTCATCGTGCATTTGTCAATGAATACATTCATGAAGAAGGGACCGATCGTTACAAAAGTGGATAAAGATTTCCTACTGCAGCTATGCTGTACTTGTCTCTCAACTCTCGACACAACGCAAGCATAAGCGCAGTTTTCCTGCATCGGACAGTGTATATGCGACGTCAGAAAATTGGACTGCGCACTGGACAAACTAGTTCTGTTGCCAAATTGAAAAGAATGTGATTGCGACGAGTACTGCAATAGGAAAGCAAAGGACATACTGAGGGAAGTTGACAACCTTACCCTGTGCCAACAGGTCCGCCAATGCCAATGGTGAAAGCACGCTCCTTGAAGTCCCGAGACGTTATAGGACGCGCTCGTCGACTAAAAAATCCTGGTGACTCTAATGGTTCATGGGTGTGTGGAGCTAAACCATCGTGTGAGTGGTATATCTTTCCGTCAGCACCTTTCCATTCATCCTTCCTGCACAAGGCCCAAGGCAATCAACGATCAGAATTCGCAGTCAGAAGTAGGCAGGAGAACAAAACAGCTGCTTTCACGTAATCAGTCTCGGGGTGATATCAATAAGAAAAGGTGCTAGTTACCACGTTCATGAGGTCCGAATAGAGATCTTCCATCGGGCATACATCATGCTTATATGCCAATTCTGGTAAATAAAAGAAAACAAATGGCAGCTGATGAACATGCTTTTAACGCTTCTAAAGTGGTTCCAAAGAAAGGAAGAGAAGTATTTGATGTCTTTCTTTAAACTCAGGAACTATCACATTTGATCTGAAAGTTCCATTTTAGACTAGACGATGAATTTGTAAAGTCACATGCCAAAGTCTGGGGGAGCTCCGCCGGCGAGCTACTGATTGTGAAAACTGTGAAATTTCGCCCAAAAACCCAAAGAAAATTGAAAAATGGATGCGTGAATATACAAACGACTGAGAGTCGAATAAGAAAATCCAAGCGCCAGTAGGCTCGATCTGACCATGTCATCATGAGCCCACTACATCGACCTGAATCACAGCCAAACTGATGAAAAAACGATGACATACGAGGAATGGTCGTGTTCATGATGATGGTGCTCTTGCTCATCGTGGGTGTGCTCGTGAGGGTGCATGTCTGTGTCATGAGAGTGGAAATGCGGTGCACCGTGGTCTGCCATCGCCCTCTACTCGAAGCCTCCAAAATTCAGTAAGATCTGTAAACAAACGAAAATTTGCACCCAAAAAAAAACTCAAAATTCCTTACGGCCCGATTCAATGCCAGCAAGCCATAGACAAGATCAAAGTTCTTCGAAACCTGCGGGAATTCTCCAACAAAGCTCTCCGAATTGAAACCTCGTCTCTCACCGTCGGACTCAAACTTCTTCGCTGCTGCTGCAGAGCATTGACAATGAAACTCTGGCTGAAGGATCTTTCCTCCGCGAGATCGAGAGAATCGAATCTTCAAGGAAAGCAGCGAAACGTCCTTTCTGCCCCACGGGCGTACAAATGGACGATCTAAATTTAGCTCCTTTGACAATCGACAGGTTCGATGGGAGAAACTTGTTCTGCGCCCCCCGCTGGCTGCCACTTCACTTCCATTCCGATAACGAGTTCTTTTCCTTTGATTAAATTATTATTATTTCCTTCGATTCAAGTAGACTTGTTCATAATATAATCACGTATTAAACACACTTTATATGCTTACACCTTTTCCCTAGTTACAAACTGGATCTTACGTTATCCATATAGTAATCATATAACAAGTTTATGACAATGTATTAGGTTGATGGTTTCTTTGTAGAATACTAAAAAAGTTTACCCTTGTATCATTCTTTATAGTTTTCAAGATGATGAAGATTCATTAATTGCATTCTAATATATTAGAAGCTTATATATAAAAATAGTATGAGTCAAGTTCAATGAGCAAATATGAAAAGTATGTAAACAAAATGATGAGCCATAACCAATCCTATGTAGATTAGTTATATGCTTATTTCTACCAAATCAAAGCAAATTAGGTACAAATCTTTAATGAAATTAGTCATGATTAGAGTCATTGCTTAATAAAAACCCAAGATAGATATTCTATCAATTTTAATTTAATTTTGTAGAGGAATTATTCAATCTCAAATTTTACAAGAAAAGAATTCTATGCTAAACTTATTTTATCAATTTTAATCAGAGCTTCTCACAAAAATAACTCGACATAAGAAATTTCAGATCTAAGTAAATTTTTCTCAATACCTTGTTCTTGATAGCATCATACGCGAGTGGGTCTATTTTCAATTTTCCGTAATCCCAAGTTCGGCGATTCAGCTCAATTCACTCCATGAACTCTTCTAATATGTATCTTGAGCTTATACAATCCCCACTATTTGAACAACTCTCTCTTTCTCGGTAACTATGAGCTAACGTAATAGACAGTAGATCGGCAAGGTTACGTACAACCACGCGAATGCAAGATTCATTCACCTTCAACCACGCGAATGATTCTTGCATGTATCTGAAGCATGAATTTTCTCAGAAAACATAACTTCCTTGTTTTATTGCTTCAAAATGCGCAACAGATTACATTGCTTACATTGCAGAAATCCATCTAGAAAAAAATGAGTGGATGACATGTTAAAAACATACTTCCTGAATTTCAACATTGAAAAATTATTCTTGACAGGCGTTGTACTCGGAAACGGTGAACCTAGTACGCCGACAAAATCTACTAGATTATTGAAAGAGTCGGTTAAACATGGAAGTGATCACGCATGATCAAACGATCACGGGAATCTATGACTTCCTTACAAGCCGTGACATTTTTGCACATGGTACAAAGCTCTTCAATTTGGTATCCAATTTCGTCAATTTCAGAGGAAGACCAACTACAATCAAAACGAGACTTCAATTGGATAATAAGGTGGTTAATATCATGACCTTTAAGTTTCACGAATTCAAAAGTATACACGGGCAAACAGTCCAAATTGCTGCTTGATCGATGTTCATCTCGCAACGCTACGCAGTTTATAAATCCATCGACAATGTCAAATATAAATAACGCAACATTCTAAATATTACTTGCCGAATTAGTTTATTGGATTGTTGATTGTAGTCAAAGCAATATGCCCAAGATCTTCAATGAAACCAAAGATGTCAATATAAAAAGTTAAAGAATTGTTGCAAATGACATAAGTGAATTCGCCTACATTTTCAAAGTTGGAATTGCGAATTGCACTGATTTTGAGTAGTAACACATTAATTAGTGGTTTAACATATGTTTGTTGTTGGCTAATATAATATTAGGGTTTAGAGAGAAATTCACTCGAAGATAGAAATGTAAACTCTGAGGATAAGAGATACCAACAATGGTTCTCATTTCCTTTATATAACTCTCACCAACAAGTACAAGGAGATAAAATCTTATACTCAACATACATCCCACTCCAAGTGGATGGATGACGTGGCGGATAACACTAACAAGCACACGGATCGATGATGTAGCGCTCCAAACTAACACACTCAATCCTTACCTACAAGCACACGGATTGCTGATGTGGCACTGTCAACTAACACATCCACTATGTACCTACCAAACCAAGCGCACCGATCGCTGATGTGGCAACTATGACTAGTGCAAAATAAAGTATCTATCTCAATATTTAGAGTAACCTCTACTTTAGTTCTAACTAACTAAAGATGGTTACAGCTAAGCATCAATTGATGACCTTGAAGTCGCATCACCGTCGTATGTACAACATTTGTGATGCTCCTTGTGATAGCATTTAGAGACCACCAAATATCATTTTCACGTTGAGATGCACGCCGAGAAAAGCTTATTAGAATTTCAAAATAATGGGCACTGATTTTCTATTGATAATTATCGAGCTAGCTTGTAGCACTGAACATGGCATGTCATCTAGTCGTAGATGTCTTGGAACTTGATTTCATATTGAAAATAAGCTTCAGCTGTCAATGCAATTGCGAGATCATAGATATATGTGTTGTGTACCATGCATCCCATCTAGCTTCAAGTATGACTCTTGTAGCCTAATGTCCAATTGATGGAAAATACACCACACTTGAATGAACAATTCTAGTGAAGATGTGTGATAACACTTGCAACATGAACTGTCATGTTTTGAGCTACGTCTGACAATACACCAATTAATTGATTTTTCCAACTGAGAGAAAATAAATCTAATAATTTACACAAAGTTTCAAATTGTGACAAACTAGTAAGAGATACGTAAAACAGATTGATATAAGATGCAAATTATAAAGCTGGCATCATCAAATAAAACGAGCACGAATATCTATGTATAAAATACCCATGCAAGTTGTTACATCCAGTGCGATTTAGAACGTCAACACCATGCATAAGATATTAAAATTTTCTGAAAATTGACATTGCATAGGATGCGTACAAATGTAGCAATTTTCAAATTACTCATCCCACCTAACTTGAAGATCATGACAACTTACTTTGTTGCTTGAAGTGACAACGCAATCTACTTGAGAGTAATACCAATGCCAATGTACTTAATTGCAAGTTGGTATGCCATTGGAGTTTTGATAGTCACAGAAAAGTTAGCCGTGTGAAAATGTAGTGTGAATTCACGCATTGCGTTCTCATAGATTTGGACTTCAAAATCTTCAGTATCCCATAACATTTCTTCAATGATGAAATCAACTATGCTCTTGTCAATGTTGTAGGTTACATGGTCAGTATCTCTGTCCAGATGTGACAAAATTGTGTTCATGAAGTTTACTTCAATGTCAAAATAAATCATCTTACTTTCTTTAGAGAGTGTTTGATATTCTTCCTAACAAATTGGATGCTCGCTTTTGAGATGAATGCGGTGTTTCTTGGAACAAAACGTTGGATCAAGCGGCTTTTGTCTAATCAATTTTTGACCTTTTGCACCATTTTTGCTCTCCCGACCAAATGATGTACAAAATCTACATGCAATTGCAATGATCCAACTCGTAGCAACATCTTGTTTTGAAATCTCAAGACCATAATCTTGTTGATGCAATGAATTGGAAGATGTCATGTGTGTTGGCATCGCAATCAACCGATTTGCTGTTCTATTTATTTTAAATTTTTTCAATCTGAAAATTTTTCAAATAAATAGATTTTAATTTGATATTATGGATTCAAGAAATTTGAAATTAAAGATATTATGCATCTTTTTTAGAATGCCCAATGTACAAAAGCCTGGCCATAACTCTTTCCCCATACTAAATCTTGGCTTGGATTATGGGATCTTTACAAAAGCGGGGGCTAAAAATTATTCTTGAAATCGCGCATCTGCAGGAAGGAGAACTGTCTGATCTTCAGAATTAGTATTTTTTTGCTTTACAAACGCCGGAGCACCAAAGACTAAAACAAAGTCTCATCTTAAATGCTCGATGACTTGGCGCTGAGAGTAAAATAACATATCATATTACAATACTACTCCACGTCGTAGAAAAAAACAACAAGAATTTAATGAGAGTCATATGGTACTTCGTCCCAAATCGCTAAATTATCTAAAGAGATGCTCTTGGAATATGGCTTTGAATTGCATTTATTAGCCTCCACGTAGTTGCCAAGTACTTCCGTGCGCAGAAGGTGAAGTGGTATCGAAAGGAGTCATCATTCAACAATCAAATTGTTATTTCAAGGAAGACACCATGAATAATTTTTTGTCTTGGAGATCAATGCTTCAAAATGATCGGATTGATAGATCAAGCAGTCAGGCTAAAATTGACAGATTGCTTGATTTCCAGCCCAAAGATTTAGACTCTGAAATTCAATTTTGGAGCTTACTGTATGGGCACTGTTCACAGCAACCTTGTCCAATGGCAAGGAGTGAGAATGTAGCGTTCAATTACGGGTGGTTAGGTGTACTCCTGCCTTAGAATCGAGAGTTACGTCAAATTTTACTTTCCCGGTGGAATCTTCATTTCAGGAACCACACTGCATGAATGTACAAAAATTAACTAAACGTAACATGGGAGTTCAGAACAGTGGGAAAGTTTTGAAGTAAGACAACCAATTGGAGGAGCAAGCACTGACTGAGACTTTGGAGAAGAGACAAAGAGATAAAGAAGGTTCACAAAGAAGAAAGAAGCTAAATCCTCCCAAAACGTTAAAAGGCAATAGAAGAAGGCGAAGCAAGTGATGGTTTTGGACGAGAATGACGATGATCTTAACATCAAGGTCCCATAGACTGACAAACAGATGAGAACTTTGATTTCACTAAAACAAGAGATGGAATCGGAGTTTAAAGCAGCCTCTACAAGCAAGCAAGGTAATTTCAAACATTCTTTTCTCGAGATAATGTTCATTCTGCAGTCTCGCAAATGTAAATGATAAGTTATTTCTTAAAGAGTTTAGAAATTTATGTAGTTAAATGGGCTTGGTATAATTGAATTGAGTCTGTAGAGGTGTTCTGCTTGCGAATCAAGAGTCTTAGGGCCTTACCACACGACCGGCAGCCGGCAATTAGCTCCTGGCTAGTGAATGAAGAAATCTTCGTAGGTCTCCCTCGTCCACATGGACATTATCCACTAACAGTTACCACACGAT